AACTAATTACATAGTGGACATAAAGACTAGTACGTCTGTAATATTACAAGTGACCCCTTAGGGTGGGGTATCTCAGTACTGCCATGTCTTATGATTAAAATCAAAGGAGAAACTGCAGCAACTCAAATATCACATATCACTAGAGGTCAACACTTTTCAGGAACGGATGTTTGGCAACAATCAACACCGCTGGCTGTGGATCCAAGGGGGAAAAAGTAATTGAAAACTTTAAGCTTTTCTTCTTCTATCATCATCTTTCCTGTCGGTGCAGGAGTGAGTGAAGACTTTGGTTTTCTGCATGTTTAGAAGTAATGCATATTGAAGGCTATAGGGTTTTCCCCCATCTTCTTCTGCATATGCTTCAGTTTTTCTGTTTTTTTAAAAAAATATATATAGTCAATTACCTTTAATAAGAATATCAAGCATATTCAATTTGGAAAAAAATTATCTTAAACAAACAATGGTAGAAGAACTGGAACTTCACATGCAAAACAATGAATCTCAGGTCTGTTTACTCACACAATATAAAAATTAAATAGATCAGTGATCCAAATACATGTATATGCTTCAGTTTGAAGCAAAGTTGTGTCATTCCAGTTCCCCCTTGTTATCAGTAGTGATCACATAGACCAATGTAGCAACTCCTTTTTTGCCTGTGGAGTCAAAGGCAGGTGATAGTTCTTAAGGTAGTTCTTTAAATAAAACGAGGAGATATATGGCATGGTTTGAAATCAGGAAAGCTGAGTGTCAGAGTTTTATCCTTTCCTCATATTTATTTAATCTGTACATTTTGCATGCCAGTGAGTCAGAACCAACGCATGGCTGACCCTCCAGCGGTTTTTTCCAGAGGTAATAACTTGCACAGAGGAGATTGTCCATCATTCTCCCACAGAGCAAGTGGTGTGTTCAAACTGAATGTTTTAGGAATTTAATCTGTATGGTAATTAAATAACCTGAGAAAACTAGACTGTAAGAAGAAAAACTCAACATCACAGTTAGAGAAAGATTCATTAAAAACCTGCAATATGACAGCTAGAAGAGCCGTTGCAGTGTGGACGGTAGTGCGAGCCCCAAACTCTCCGCTTCCCCCGCCTGCCAAACCGAGGCAGCCACAGCAACAACACTTAGAACAGTCCAATAGAAGAGACGCGGCCGGGTGGAACAACCACATCGACAATCTCACGGCGGACGGGACCTGTCAGGACGCGGCTACCGTGGGCTTTAAGGACTCACCCGCCCTCCGTCTGGGCCGCTGTCCCC